CACAGCGGAACTAAACGAACCTATCTACATGGGTATGTCTATTTTAGACTATTCTAAAATTCATATGTATTCCTTCTATTATGATGTGTTAAAACTCAAATATGATGATAAAATCAAGTTGGTCTATACTGATGCTGATAGTTATGTAATCAAAGTTGAGACTGATGATTTATATGAAGACTTTGTGGAGATAAATGAATACATGGATTTCAGTGATTATCCAGCAGAACATCCAAATCATGATAAATCAAACAAGAAGGTATTAGGGAAATTCAGGGATGAAATGAACGGTAAAATAATTACTCACTTTATAGGATTGAAACCAAAGGCATATTGTTATAAAGTATATGGTGATGAAAAGGAACACAAGAAAAGTAAAGGGGTAGTCAAGCATAAAGTGGGCAATCAGTTAAGTTACAAAACGTATGAAGAGACATTGAATAGAAACTGTAAAGAAGAAGTCGGTTTTAACATTATCAGAAGTAAGAACCATCAAATTTATAGCATTAATCAGACTAAATATGCTTTAAGCAACTACGACAATAAACGCTACTGGTATTAAGATTCTGAAAGCCTCCCGTTTGGACACTATGCCATAGAATATCTACATAACGAAAAGATGATTTAACATATATGGATATAAATTCAACAACTGAAAAATTATGTCAAAGAATGGCAAGACATAGAAGAGCTTATAAATATTGTTTGTAAACAATACAAACCCCCACAAACACCATCCTAACTCAATGAAATCGTTTGATGAGTTCGGTCTTGAAAACTGCAAACTAGTTCTTATTGCAGAATACCCATGCCAAAACAGAACGCAACTCGAAAAGAAGGTGAATATATTGAAAATGATAAGAACGGTCTTAACAGATGTATTGCTGGTCGGACTTGAATGGAAGATTGTGGCGCCACAGGAGAGCATCACCTTCAACAGTAAACAATATCAGAATAGAGAATATTGAAATATACAAAGAAAAAGACAAACGGCATCATGAGAACAATAAAAATAAAATACAAGAAAAAAAGACGAAACAGTACAAAAATGAGGAGAAATATTGCGAGAAGAACTCAAAGCATAGAGAAGGAAACAGAGAAGCATTGAGGCAAACACAAAGAAAAAGATACCAAAGAGAGAAAGATAAGATAAATGCAAAAAGAAGAGAAAGGCAAAAACTCAAGAAAGAACAACAACTACTAATCAACCAAAAGCAGTTCATGCCTATTATGCCTTTTACTCATTCCATCTAGTTTATAGTATCTGTGATTCATCATATCACGACCAACTAATATCACTTTGTATTTCCTTTCACTCCACTGACTTCTAGTTTCTTTCCTTGATGCATAGTTGCCCTTTCCTTTATCAAATATCTTAACATAATCTCCTTCACTTATGTTTGGATATTTTCTGTTATGCTTTTCTTTCAGTATCAGATTCGTTCTGACCTGAATTACGTTATCAAGATTGTGCGCATTATTTGGTGTTGTCTTGGTGCTACTGTGGATTTGGTTGTTGTATCTATTCAACGAGGGCTTTAGCACTTCCACCCATGTTTTGGTTTTGTAATGCCTCAATCTGTCCCCAATCATTTTTTTGACGGTGCGTATCATCCTTTCTGCCTGATTTTCATGCGTCTTTGTTATTACGTGTGTTATACCTTCCTCCTTAAACAATGTTTGCAGCTTCTTGCTGTTCAACGCTCCTTCGTCGTCGCTGTAAATCGACAAAGGCTGACCTAATACCTTGAAACACTCCATGGTAGCTTTATAAACGTCATCACCATCTTTATTCTCGATAGGGACTATGTGACATTTTTTACTGAATATATCTATGCAAACTAAACCATATCTTAGCTGACTTTTGATTTCAGAACCTACGTCTCGCAGCAAACTGCTCACATCCATCAAATCAATTTGGAATTCATATTTTGGAAATGGTGCGGTGTAGGAATTGTAGTTCTTGTAGTTTCTTGTTTGCTTGTTGGGTTGCGCCCTCATCCATGTAGATACCATATCCAAAGTTATGCCTACATCGACTTTCCTAGCCTTTTCGTACAAGTCCCTCACCGAACCGAAGCCCTCCTCCACGTCGTAGTATATTCTTTCCAATACCTTTTCTTTTTCCAATCTTGTCATTAAAAATACTTAGATTATAATTTTATGATTTTTCTTGCATCATAAAACCATAGTGAACTCAGCCCAAGAACCTCTGGCACTTCTTCGTTTTCTTGTGCTTTGCCAAGTTTGATTTACAGCTCATGGCAGAACCGCATATATCGCATACGCACGGTTGTTTCGCTCTCTCTTGGTAATATCTTTGGAAATACTTTCGTCGTTCGGTTTTCTGTTGTAGTATCCGTCCTCCTGCTTTCTCCATTCAGCACTGGTGTTCTTGTTAACGGATGAGTTTGCTTTGTAGCTTTCTTCAGATGAAGATGTTTCGCTGTCAATGAGGTCTTTGTTGCCAAAACCGTTCCAAATAAAGTCAAAGGTTTGATTAGCTATTGGCATTTGAAGTCCGTTGCTTACAAAGTAACAAGACATACTGCAAATGTAGTTAATTGTAAATATCTTAATATTTGTTTAAGTATTTTTTGCCCGATGGGGGTTTTGTGTATAATATCTCTACGCCGTCTCATATAAGTCGGTGGCATGCTTTTAGTGGCTACAAGGAGTTTAGCATGTTGAAAAGGCACCCTTAGTTGCCAAAACTTTGTCCACTAGTTTTCCACCGATTTTCCTTAAATTTTCTTCTAGTTTTCCATTCAAAGCTCCGGCTCCCAGGAAAGCCTGTCCAAAATCAAGCACCCGTTGCGTGCATGACCTGATTGTCAGGAAAAGTCAACCCTTCAGTCCAAGTTGGAATTGTCCACGTGCAACGCATACTCTATCATTGACGCAAGGTCATACCACAACGAACCAACTGTGCTGATTTTGTGATACGAAGTGAAACTTTAATAGACTACATACACGCCCGCATTCGTGCTCTCATTGGATTTCGACAGCCTCAGCCGACAGAGCAATAAACAGACCCTCATGAGAGCCAAAATTTGTCACTGTGACCACGGAACTCCATTACCATCAAGCCACTGCAGGTTGCCAAGAAAGCTGAGACTCACACTCATGCTGATGGTATGGTGAAACCGTAGCAGTCGAGCCTGAATGCAGGGACAAACTCAGAGGTGGCAAAAAAAACAAGAATACATCAGAGAATTGTAAACAATGACAACTATTCGAAGCCAAGTATTGTCAAAAACTGCTCAAAACAAAACACCAAGTGATGGGCTCGTTCGTGTTGCGAAGGCTTGCCGACATCTTTTCTTCCCTAGTCCAATTTCCATCCTGCAAGTCTACGATGAACAAGCCGCGATGCTCAAAAAGACAGCTGGCAAACCACAATGCAATGGCAAGTTGAGACGCTGGTGTGAAAGGGGTTGGGTCAGGTGTTGTGAAAGAAAATGGACGCTAATCATCCTTGAGGCTGTAGATGTCCATCTTGGACGTTTGGATGGGAGACAAGGAAGGGTCGATTGCCTCGCGCATTGCCGGAAGCAAAGCCAAACGCTAAATTGGTTTAGTCAAAGCACCAAGCTTGACTGAACAACAACAAACTCTGAGCTCTGGACTTTCTTTAAATATGCCTGGCGAAGTTCACTTCAGAGAAACCAGTTTAGACAATAGCACCCAATCAGAGAGCATACGGCTAAAACTTGCCAGGAGTACAATATTTTGGGGCAAGGGGTCAATTGGGAACGCATTTCCAGCAAACTCGAAGCCGCCGGCGCCGTCCTGCAAGGTCAACAGCCGAGACATTCAAACTCAACCCTTTCCAACCGCGTGCTGCTCGCATTTACTTACCAAAGGGCACAGCAAAGAAACAAGGGCATGGCAAAACATCATACAAAGTCTTTAGTCTAAATCTTCTCTATCAAATTGGGGAAGATGTTGGGAAGATATCATTCAACAAATCCTGAGGAATAAATATGCTAGTGTTATATGCATAAAACATTTACTTCCCTCAAAAGAACATGGCAACGGAACAGGCAAACGGCAGAGAATCAACATGTTGCGTCTAAGTCCTTTCGAAGTTGAATATGAAGACACCCAAATAAACAACCGTGTAGTCGCCCCAACCGTCCTGAAACAAAACGTGACAAGGCAAAGGATGCCAGAAAGAAATCTCTTGATGAAGTTTCGGCTGGACTAACCACTTGTATTTTAACCTAACACTAGTCAGAGGACCTTCGAAGGGAACAATGGCATCAACTGTTGCAGTGGCTCTTGTAAATAACAATGCTTTTGACGCTTGAGTGGGAGAATTGATGGAGCTCAAGCCTACTTTCATTCACACGACCAATCAACACCGTTTTTGGCACACGAACCATTCAAAGCAACACATGAGAGGAACATATAGGGATGACAAGGCTGCTTGTTCAACACTTGCTGTATCACTCAAAAGGTGAGATGTTGAGGTGGGAACAGACAAAAGGGCACGGCAAAGGAACAAGGGCATGGCAGAAAATCGCACAAACGTCTTTAGTCTATCCTCTCTACCAATTTAAGGCAAATGTTGGGAAGATATCATTCAACAAATCCTGAGGAAGGAAAAAACCCATTATCTTCTCCCTTAAGACGCCCTGCACCCTACCAAGTTCGTAGCATGACAGTGTATTTTCTTGCACAGTGGACTTACCCTTAATCACGCTTTTAGTTTGGGGCATGGCTTTTCGATAATAAAAGTTCTTCCTACACCTGACAAAAGGGCACAGCAAAGGAACAAGGGCATGGCAGAAAAACATACAAAGTCTTCAGTCTAAATCCTCTCTATCAATCGCAGGAAGATTATTGGAACATATGTTTAAACAAATCCTGAGGAATGAACAACCCTGCAATCTTCTCCCCAAATAGTGCTGAGCTGTCTCAAGAACATAAAATGACACAGTATTATTTTGCATAGCGAGCTTACACATAATCACATGTTTGGCTTGGGAGGAAAGTTACAATACCACCATCAATCCATGCAGTTTGCTGCTGAGTTGGCATAGACATGATTGTTTAAATTTATCGTAGAACCCAATACAATAGTGCTTCCTTGGTGAAGCAACTGACTGGCACTGGTCACTCCTGTCCTCCTTTAGTTGCCTCACCCACACTGCTCCAGCTTGTGGTCTGGTGATGCCTTGCGTTCAACATGTTCAACCGAGAACGGATGGAGAAAAAATGGTTCGCGTATCCGATAAATGCTCCTGAAAGATTGAGAAACAAACTGCAAAATGACTGGGGCTCATAGTGACGAGAGGTTGCTCCAAAAGAAAAGTCTTTCTTTGAAGTCCAAGTTGCTTGGTTTCACCGTGTCCACCATCCGCTGGATGCACTTGCGTGCATATGTAGTTGGTGGAATTAAAACCCGCACAGCATCTGGGTCTCTGAACATATCTTCCTTCAAGGCTTTGTCAAAGAAAGTAGTGGTCTGTCTCTCGATGATGTCGCCGAAGTTCTTCTTGGCGATGATGCGAGCACCCTTCTGGCTCTCCGTCTCCGCTTCTGCAGCGCCACCCTCTACTTACGACCATCCTTTCTGAGCCAAGTTCTCCATGTGCTTCCGAGTGAGCGGGTCACCAACGAGGTCATCTAAGCCGGCATTGCCTCGGACGTTGAAGGGGTCGAAGAGCCTCTCCTGACCCAACTCGAATTGCTCACGGAGCTTGTCGACCGCCTGGTGGCACAAAAAAACGTTTCCACCGAAGGTCTCATAGAACTCCTGCCAGCCCACAACACAAAAGCATTTGCCATATTCCGATTTCACATGGTATTGCACGCGCACAGTTCCGACCCACGCAACCTGTGATAAACTGATTACAAGAAATTCAGCGAAACAAAGAACACCAAAATTCGACCCTGATTTTTTTTTGCACGATCATGAGCTAAGCTTTAGAAAAGCACTGCACAAAGTTGCTCATAGCTCCTGTGCCAAGTCGTGAGACAAACCCCACTCTTGCAGCAAAAAAAGCATAGGCTTCTCTCCAACCTCCGGAGCTACAATCGTATTGAGAGCATCATACTTGTTGAAGCCAAGAGCTTGTAGTCCCAATGGGAAAGCATAGTCAGAGGCAACCAGAATAACAGACGCTTTCCCCTGCTCCTTTGTCAGCGCCACAAAGGTTGCGAGCGCTCTGTAAGCTGCTTCTCTTCTGCCATTCCCATTCCCACCGTTACCATTGGGAAAGGCGATGTTGGCTTCATCAACAATCATGACTGGAACCTTCTCTGCAGCCATTGTTGCCGCAACAAAAGCCTTGATGAACTCCTCGGGCTTGGTGATGTTGAGAAACAAAGAGAGAAGAGTTTCCACTGCACCCTCTCCTATCTCCTCATCGTCACTCTTCTTTAAGTTCGCTTTGCCAAGTGCTCCAAGAACTGCAGAACCGGCGGCAACCAGCCGCTCTGCCCCGAATGGCAAATTCTTTGCGGTCCATCTTCGCTTAGCTTCTTCTTGCAAACATTCCAATGCATCCGTTGACTGGGCTTTGCTCGGGAGACGCATCAGCATTGTCAACAACGGTCTGCACAATTTTGGTCTTTCCGAGGGACTTGCCCCCAATGACAAGGTGCAAACCAGACTTTCCCATAGCCTGACGAAGTTGCGTGACATCCTGTATCACAATTTAGCTGAGCTGAAGTCTCTTCAAAAATGGACAGGAAAAACCGTCTAATAACCGCATAAACTTCCTTAACCATACTGAACCTCTAAACTCCAAACAGAATTAAAACAAGTTCATGAGAAACAACGGATAGCTCAACCGCACTGCCTCATTCAATGTCTTCACAAACTCCTCTCGCCCAGCAACCGCGTCGCTCTTTCGGTAGAGTTCTGCTCTGTTGCTCACATCTTTCAGGTATTGGGCGGGACTGATGCCTTTGTTTTGGTCGCTTTCCTCTATCTGCTTTGGGATGCTGAAGGTCAAATTTTGGAAGGCGCCGACCAAAAAACAACTAATTGCAGCAAGACGCAGACAAGAAGCTGAAGCGCTTCTCTTGGAAGCCATTGCGCTGAAAAAAGGGTCGCAATCAAGCAATCAAAACTGAGTTTCGACCCGTTCTGGAATAGTTCTTTGTTCTGGCTACCCAACACTGTTTGTTCGATGCGTTCTGAATTGAGCCCTCTAAGACTGAGCTGCACGGAAGGGGCTGTTGCCCCGGAATTCATCTGCAAACGCTGATCCGAAAGCTTGAAACTAAACATCAAACCCAGACGCGCATGGAAGCATGCCATGTTTGCAAATACATTTCAACGTGCTGACGCAAGAAATCCACAGGTTCACCCTCGTTTGCGTTTTCCTGCAAGCTCCATGAGTGGTTGCGGGCTGGAAATCCCTCATTGTTTTTGTGTTTTGAGCAAGTATGTACATACTTAAAAATGCGTTTGGTATTTTTTGGCTTTGGGAGTTGGGGTTCCGGCTAACGAGGCTGGGCTCTCAGGAAATCAGCCACCGATTTTGGGGAAATCCGTCACCGATTTTGGGAAAATCAGCCACTGACTTTGAGGAAATCTGTCACCGATTTTGGGGAAATCCGTCACCGATTTTGGGGAAATCCGTCACCGGCTTCGGGGAAATCTGTCACCGATTTTGGGGAAAAACATGTGCCTTTTTTGGGAAAAACAGGCTCCGTTTTTGGGAAAAACAGGCTCCGTTTTTGGGAAAAACATGCTCCGTTTTTGGGACGAACAGGCTCCGTTTTTGGGAAAAACACGTTCCTTTTTTGGGAAAAAACATGCTCCGTTTTTGGGAAGAACAGGCTCCGTTTTTGGGACAAACTGGCTCCGTTTTTGGGAAAAAACGGCTCGATTTGCGGGGGACATTGGTTTGGTTTTTGGATTGGCTTGGGACAAAGCTCAAGTCTCACTGTTTTGAACGCAAAGCATGTTTGGGTTTGGATTTTGAGGTTTTAGGACGGGGTCTCTAAAAATAAGTCAACCGATGGGAAGTTGGAAAGGTAAACTGCTCAAACCTATAAACTTTGATGTTGAAAATTGGGTCTTGTTCCATGAATTAAAGTCTTGCGCGAAAAGGCACGCAGAGATGACATCAGGACAAATCTAATGTTTCTGATGAAAAAATACTTGAACAAATATTTAGATATATAGTTAACTATATTTGCAGTATGCCTTGTTACTTTGTAAACAACGGAGTTGAAATGTCAATGACTAATCAAACCTTCGACGTTATTTGGAACGGTTTTGGAGACAAAGAGCTGACTGACAGCGAAACGTCTTCTTCGTCTGAAGAAGGTGATAAAACAGGTTCGCTTGTTGAAAAGGCTAGAAATGCTGAATGGAGAAAGCAGGAGGACGGATACTACAACAGAAAACCGAACGACGAAAAGTATTTCCAAAGATATTACCAAGAGAGAGCGAAACAACCGTGCGTATGCGATATATGCGGTTCTGCCATGAGCTGTAAATCAAACTTGGCAAAGCACAAGAAAACGAAGAAGTGCCAGAGGTTCTTGGGCTGAGTTCACTATGGTTTTATGATGCAAGAAAAAATCATAAAATTATAATCTAAGTATTTTTAATGACAAGATTGGAAAAAGAAAAGGTATTGGAAAGAATATACTACGACGTGGAGGAGGGCTTCGGTTCGGTGAGGGACTTGTACGAAAAGGCTAGGAAAGTCGATGTAGGCATAACTTTGGATATGGTATCTACATGGATGAGGGCGCAACCCAACAAGCAAACAAGAAACTACAAGAACTACAATTCCTACACTGCACCATTTCCAAAATATGAATTCCAAATTGATTTGATGGATGTGAGCAGTTTGCTGCGAGACGTAGGTTCTGAAATCAAAAGTCAGCTAAGATATGGTTTAGTTTGCATAGATATATTCAGTAAAAAATGTCACATAGTCCCTATCGAGAATAAAGATGGTGATGACGTTTATAAAGCAACCATGGAGTGTTTCAAGGTATTGGGTCAGCCTTTGTCGATTTACAGCGACGACGAAGGAGCGTTGAACAGCAAGAAACTGCAAACATTCTTTAAGGAGGAAGGTATAACACACGTAATAACAAAGACGCATGCAAATCAGGCAGAAAGGATGATACGCACGGTCAAAAAAATGATTGGGGACAGATTGAGGCATTACAAAACCAAAACGTGGGTGGAAGTGCTAAAGCCCTCGTTGAATAGATACAACAACCAAATCCACAGTAGCACCAAGACAACACCTAATAATGCGCACAATCTTGATAACGTAATTCAGGTCAGAACAAATCTGATACTGAAAGAAAAGCACAACAGAAAATATCCAAACATAAGCGAAGGAGATTATGTTAAGATATTTGATAAAGGAAAGGGCAACTATGTATCAAGGAAATAAACTAGAAGTCAATGGAGTGAAAAAAAAGTATAAAGTAATACTAGTTGGTCGTGATATGATGAATAATAGATACTATAAACTAGATGGAATGAGTAAAAGATATAATAGGCATGAACTACTTTTGGTTGATTCGTAATTGTTTTTTGTTCTTCTGTTTTCGCCTTTCTCTGCTTTTGGGTATTAATTCTATTTTTCTCTCTTTGCTATCTCTTTCTTTGTGTTTGCCGCATTGCTTCTCTGTTTTCTTCTCTATTCTTAAAGTCTTCTCATTATATCTATCTTTATTTTTCTGGTGTTCTTGTATTTTGCTTGTTCTGTTCTCATGATGCTGTTTGTCTTTTTCTTTGTATTTTTCAATATTCTCTATTTGAATATTCGGTGTTGTTTCTTCTGGTCGAGGTGATGCTCTCCGGTGGCATCGCAATCCCTTCCACTCAAGTCCGACCAACAATACATCTGTTAAGACGACTCTTATCATTTTCAATATATTCACCTTCTTTCTTCTCGAGTTGCTTTCTGTTTTGGCATGGGTATTCTTCAATAAGAATTATTTTACAATTCTGAACAGAAAACTCATCAAACGATTTCATAGAGTTAATATGGTGTTTTTGGGGATTTGTATTGTGTATATAGATAAGATTTATAATCTCTTCTATGTCTTGCCATTCTTTGACTCAGTTTTTCAGTTGTTCAACCGATGTAGCCACTATTTTAACCAACATTAACAATCTTATGGATTTGTCCGTTTCATATCTATTTACATTTTTTCCATATATCTTAAATCATCTTTTCGTTGTGTAAATATCTTATGGCAAAATGTCCAAACGGGAGACTTTCAAAATCTGAAAACCAGTAGCGTTTATTGTCGTAGTTGCTTAAAGCGTATTTAGTCTGATGAATGCTATACATTTGATGGTTCTTACTTCTGATAGTGTTGAAACTGATTTCTTCTTTACAGTTTCTATTCAATGTCTCGTCATAGGTTTCGTAACTTAACTGATTGCTCACTTTACGCTTGACTACTCCTTTACTTGTCTTGTGTTCTTTCTCGTCACCATAGACTTTATAACAATATGCCTTTGGTTTCAATCCTATAAAGTGAGTAATTATTTTACCGTTCATTTCATCCTTGAACTTGCCTAATACCTTCCTATTTGTGTTGTCATAGTTTGGATGTTCTACATTATAATCACTAAAATCCATATATTCATTAATCTCTTTGAAGTCTTCATATAAGTCATCAGTCTCAACTTTGATTACATAACTATCAGTATCAGTATAGACCAATTTAATATTATCTTGATATTTTGGTTTCAAAACATCATAATAGCGGTTTGTTTACCAGTTTTTGGAAGCGTTCAGGCGTATTGACAATTTCAAAATCACCATGCTTTCTTACATTCTCCATGGTCTTGCCGTATACGCTATTATTCATTAACTTAAACAAATATTTTTCAAAGTCATTGCTGGCATTCTTTCTCTTTTCAGTGTTGAATTCAATGAATGGTTTTAAGAAGTTTGCTTGTTTGAAACTTATTGCTCTATGGACTTTTTTAAGACGTAATCCGTGTTGCAGATAGAATTTCAATGCTGATATGTGCAAAACATACTTCTTTTTATCCATTACATTTAATACTAACTTATTTGTCTTTTCATCACTGGCATCTTTTCCATAATAGTATTTGTGTATATCCTTCTGGACTTTTGAAAACATATTCTCATTGATACTCATGATTTCAGGTGCTAATGGATAGTCTTTGTGTAAATCATGAAGTTCCTTTGGATAATCCAAATCAACTTCTAATATGTATCCTATGTCATCATCATCACTATATTTCATTACTCTCTTTTCATCTATTCTACCGTAATACCATTTAAAATCACCATATGGCAGTTTCCTACACATTGCTAATCCGCAAAGGTTATTAGCATCTAAATGACTTATGTATGATGAAGGCTTAGATTTATCATAATCTTCATTCATGTATTTATTGTTTGCTTCTACCTTCTTAAAGGAGCACTGTGTCATTCCTCCTCGTAATCCATGTTCAATCATCTCATACATTTCTTTTTTGTGTATTTGTTCTAGTCTAACTCCTTTCAATGATAAAAAGGCATTCCAAGAATAGTTAGGTAAAGTGATATAATATGCTGGGTCTAATCCATAATAGTTCAAACACATATCCCTAAAATTTTCAAAAACATCAGTTAGTAAATATACATCAGTCATCAAATATAAATCATGATATTCGCCAAGGTTTTTAATGTTAAAATGTTTCCATACAATATTTGCTCTGGCGTAGTCTTTGTCAGTTATGTTTTCTTCATATAATTTACTTTCTTTGGTAGTTTTGTTTCATCAAACTTATTCCATGAATTCATGTAGTCATAGGGATACACCCCTTTCTCAGTTAGTAAATTCAAATCAGTTTTGGATTTAATGTATGGGTTAGTGCTTGTATATCTAAAACGAGTTTCCCAGTCTTTAATCTTTTCATTTCCTTCATATTTGTTCAGTCTAACTCATTTATCTAATGATGCTGTTAAGAAAGCAAAACTGTCTTTAAACTGACAAGCGCCAAATGAAAAGGTTATGAACTTTTCGCTGTTTTGTGCTATTACATCTATTCTTTTGCTTTGGTTTAGTTCTATGTTTAGTTCAT